CGATGTTTCAACTGCAGTTGGAAAGAACACAAAAGAGATCATTATCAAACCGAAGGGCTCCAACGCCTCAAATACAATGTTTGCATACATAAATACTAATTGTTCTAAAATAAATTGTATTAAAGTAAACCCAAGTGTGAACTCTGTATGTCAGATCAACGACAAATTAATACAAATCAAAGTGTTTGATGTAAATTTTTATGTATTAATGGATATCTGCAAATAAGTTAACTTAGTGCGAGTGTTTGTGATCAAGATGAGATGAAGTCCAGTTATTGACATGAATATTACAAATCGACTCTCCTCTGGATTGGTAAACAAGGTTACGAAGTCTCTTGAGTTAAAATAAATCGATATCAACGTTAAAGATACTCATGTATTATTTTCGTTATGTAGTCCCAATGAAGACAATTGGTTGCAGAATTCATCTTACGGTAGGATTTTATAAAGCAAGTGGAAGTCTTTACTAAAATATAGAATCTATATCAAAAATTTCAATCCAGAAATATTTATTATCTTCAAAAGTTCTGTGCTAGAAGAAATCACTCGAGTTTCAGAATACGGAGAAGACATTAATGAAGATCTGAAAGTTTTACAGCATTTTGAGGGCATTGTAACAGAATATACTGATGTGCCTGAGCTTTACAAAGACAAGATCTAACAACATTAAGACAATCATCAGCCGAAGAAAAATGTGAAGGCAGATTAGGTGAAGTTTGAACTGCACGATAAAAACCTTTTAGCCAACACTCCAGACGATTAGCTCCCATCAAGAAGCCAGATACGTGATACTTGAATTCAAGAATGGTTTGGAAAACAGTGGGTGCTGTCAAGCCTGGAAAAAGCGAACATACAAGACCTTCCTTCATTGTGATAAAGGCAGACGACTCTTACAGAATTTGCGGTTTTTTTTGTTGTTGTTTTTTTCTTGTAAATAAGCTGCCTTGGATATCGCACCCTGCATTTACCGGGGCTCAGTAACATTATATCGGTGAATGAAATTCTTATCAAGGTATCAGTATTTGCTAGAAACAATTTTTATCCCCATGGGTTGTTAGCCCTTGGGGTATGGAAGATGAAGTTATGATAGTGAGGGGTGAAATGACAACACATACATACGGATGTACGTAATCACAACCACCCTCGAGGCGGAAGTCGAATACGCGATCTTCTTGTCGGAGATCGCTACGACACAACTGATCGGATGTAGAATTTGTTTGTATTATTATTATTATTATTATTATTATTATTATTATTATTATTATTATTATTATCGAAGCATGTGCAAATCCCTTTGAGGACTAAGGCTTCCTGCTATACGCAGGATTAAGGTTGGTTGTAATTTGTCTTTTTACTATTATACAATAAATTCAGACACTACGTTCTCCTTCATCCCCTGGCAGGTTTAAGATTGGTTCAAAACCAGGTAAACGAGGGCTTTGTTTCATTAGCAACGCCGTCAGACCGCTAAGAAGCCGGACAAGCTGATCAACGGACATCGAATTGTTAACTCTGACGTAGCGTTAGTAGCGTTTTAATGTATTATTAATTCGCCCGCATGCATACTCTCATAAGCTTTTCGTAATGAATTGTATAAATTATTACAATATTATTTTTAGTGACGATATCATCCTATCATATTTTTAGTGAATATTTACATGAATCATTTACATATTATCTCTAATCTCACTGCACGTCTCGAGTTCAGTAGCTGTCTGGAGAAGAATTCCAGTGGTCGGCTGCTCTGATCGATAGTTTTTCGTGGATTCTCCAATCAACATCAGGCGAATGAGGGAGCAGTATCCTAACAAACGGATCATGGACCGCGCGTGATCTTTACTTTGCCTTCCTTGCACTATCATCACCCCTTTCTTAGACACACACTTATATGCATTACACTTCCACACATATTGAGAGCTTAGAGTTTGTCGCTTGTCCCGGATAGGGAGGTGCCCCGCTGATGGGAGATACCTGGTTGGGGAAAACCACCGTAAGCTGACGTGCAGGTCGGCGCCGGATCTTGCAATACTGCCGGTAAAGATTACATCCACCTCCGCGATAAAACATGCTCTTCACTTGCGGAACTGATGCAGTAGAACCGCTCGGAAATGCTGATCTATCCATCAATCAGCGACAGGGGATGTATACTTTTGTGAAGTTTATTTTTCAAGATTATCGTAACTTGCTTATTATTGGGCACGTCTTGATAACTACAGGCGTTCGTAGAGAGAATGGCCAGGCCAGGTCAACATAAGCATCATTCCTGTGTTAACAAAGTTGGCAATGGATAATCTGAATCATTCGATTCCATTTCAGCATCGACATTTCGTTGTACATTCGTTGTAAATGTGACTTAATGACACCTGTCAGCGATGGTAATAGGATGGCAACTTCTGGATAACTGTTTGGTGATAAGATTCCTTGAAGGATTTCAATATTTCGATGGTGCCAGAGCAGATAATACACATTCATTGTGAAGGAAGGAATGAATTTCGTAAAGTAGCCAAGAGGAATATTCTAAGAATCCAAGGAGAAAAAAATAAGTCGTCTAGGGAAACTACTGACCAAACAGAGGGCGATATAGTATAAATAAGTTTTACAAAGGGATTAAGTTACGGAAGAAATATTTTGGACCTGCAAAATACCCTAGTTAAGCGAAGCGATTAATTCGAAGAATTCGACCCCAACGCTGACGATGTAGAGCCAGAACTGACATCTACAGTAGCTGAAGATATGACCGGGAATCGAAGGATTCTAAGGATGACCGAATCCTTCGGTTCCCGGAGTTAGTAAATACAGATAGGGGTTTCTTATTAGTATAATGCTCGTGTTCATTGCATTATGTGGAACAGGTGGAATGTGTATCGGTAACCTACAGATGACGTTGAAATATACCACGAAAGTTCTTTTTAGCTGTACTGTCTGACAGGCTATTACAGTCGACTCCAGTTATAGTGAACCTGTGAAAGCTAACATGTTTGGTTTTCTGAATTCGATTATGCAAAAACAAAATAGTATTTCGTCGATGAATAGTTTAATAATTTCAAAAATTCAATAAAATATCCCACATTGGCAAATCTTTAGTCCGCAAAATAATTTTTTATTTCTATTGGTTTCCTTAAGTTTTTTGTATCAGTACTTTCTGCAGTTCCTTTGCCAAAAGGTCGCGCTTTTTCCTCGACATTTGATTTTACTGGGGCATACAACACAACACACACACACAGTCAGACGCCACACACAACATCAAATTATTTTAGTGGAGTTCTTCATACTTAACTCTTGACCTTTGAAACACGTTCTTCATTTGCATGCTCTTGTCATTAGCACTCATGGTTTTCTATGTTCGTGGAAGACTCGTACACAGTGTTAATGTTCTAGGCTTAGGATTAGAATTTCACTTAGTTTTCATCTCGTAGTTCAACGGCGGATTAAGTTTTCACGCTTCGACAGAAATTGGTCAAAAAAGAGCTGACAACAGTTTCTTCAGGCCTTTCATTCAAAGTGTTAATTCTACAAAAATAACTCACGAATCCCTCCTGCCTGCCAACTCTGCTACGGAGTCGCCCGATTGCATCCCGCATTTAGGTTTCCTTCATTTTGGGTACCTCTGAAGGCAAAGCCTCATAGCATAACCGACCGGTGTTTCGGGAGGGGAGAGGAAACAATTTGGAACTAAGTTTCCATTATTAGTTACTCAAATAAATGTTTTCAACACCATTAGAGATAAAAAAGATCGAAAATAAGTGAACATAACAGAATACTTGGAACGGTTCCATATTTAAGTGAGCGGGAGATAAGATGATGCGGTGATGGAAGATTTTAAGTTTTTGTTTGCAACAAACTTTTGAGTTGGTGGTTTTCACATTGGATGGTGTTCCTAAAAGGTCAAGCACATGCTTATTCAAAACACCATCGGAACAGATAATAGACTATTTTATTTATCTAAAAATTTATGGGATTTTAATAGTGGGTAATTATTTTAATTATGCGTATTTTTAAGGGTAAGACCGAGGGTCTTCTTGGTAGCCGTCAGTCGAATAGTACGAACGTCAGTTTCATACCTAAGAATATCAAGAATTATTGCAACCATAAGAATGCTAAGACAGCCGATCCGGTGGTCGAGATCGCTAGGCAAATTATTTGTGTGTCGAAGCGATCTCGGACTCAAATGGATCGCAGGTTTGAGTCCCGCTCGGGCAAAAGGTTGTAATTGTGTTCGTCCTTTCACCCCCTATCATCATCATTATCATGCAATCATCAATCATCGTCGTATCTTGTCATCCTGCACAGTTACCGAATACCAAATACTAAGATTATTCAATAACAGTTAAATCAAAAACTAACCAAATTTCGCTCAGTACCTCTACGCTCGAATTATCTGAACATGTTCAATACAAAAATCAGACAAAGCCTAGCGGCCAGTTTTATTTAAGTATGGCACTTTTCACTGGCTAAAGTACAATTTAAACACTTTGGATACAACACTGCAATAAGTTAAATATTTTTAACAAAAACCTGTTTTTACAAATTTCTGGGTAACATAGTAAAGAATACTACAGAACAGCATTTTTTAATACACCAAAATTTTCAGGAAATGTGCTGTTCCTCGGGGTGATACGTGAATAGCTAATATTTAATGGCAGGCGCTCTCTCCTTCGAGCCCTGCCTGTCGTATGAAGTCGGAAGTGTGGTCATAAGCAGTGACGAAGTTAGATGGAGTCGTTAACAGGCAGTAAAGAGAAAAGGCGGAAATAACACAGAACATATTTGTAGGGGTTAGTTTAAACTAAGTTTTTGGATTTTGATTTAGTTTCTACAAAACCGTTGACAACCTCTCAGTGGTGTGGAAAGATTCTTGTCAATTTTACGCGCATTAGAAATTAAGTAATATAGATAAAACAAATTTGGAAAGAAGCATTTGTTCTATTCCTCTTTCATGTTAATTCACAATGTCCGAAGTAAAGGTGCGATCTCCCTTCTTAACCTCTCTCCCTTGTACTCACGAAGAAAACCATCGGGAAGCAATAAGAGCCGTAAAAGCTTTTTTGGGCAAGCAGGTACAAGACCATTAGGTAAAGTGGACCATGGAATGCAATTGGGATACGTTCTTAGTGACACTGGAATTCACGGTCCTGAGGCGAAGGACTTCGTTTCTGGAAGTTATAATCATCTTTTTTGTGTTGACTAGAGACAATGTGGAAAGTTTACTATAACTGAATTATATAGTGTTTATTGTAATGGGACAAACGACTTTGGTTCACTATAACCGAAATTCACTATATGCGAGTTTACTATAACCAGAGTCAACTGAACAGCATTTTCTGAAAAAAAGAAAAATGACCAAATATAATAACAATATGTATCGGTGAACGTGTACGTTTATTCAATCGAAATTAAAACAAAAATATTATCCTAAATCTATTAACAATTATTGTTTATGGGCTACTTTCGAAAATAAATTAAAGAATATATTTCATTTTAAGTTTGCACATGATCTGAAAGTTCCTTGGAATTGCCTCAATCACGATGAATAAGAGCACGATATTGTGTTAAGTGACACCTAGTAGAGAGTGTAAAGGAGTAATGTACTCGAATATACAATTTTGTAATAATACTTACTGATTTCCTTATTTCATCTTTTGGAATCTCTTCAAGTGAAGGTTCTCTAGGCGCAGAACACTTGGCGCATGTACTCTCCTTAGTAAGATATACATGTTTACTGAAAACAAAAAGGACAATCTATTTATTTACGCATTTCTATATTAATGAGCACCAGCGGACTTGTTTTAAGCCGGTATTAACAAGAATTGCACTGACGCAAATGAGAAAGTCTTCACATTAACTTTAGTCATACGGAAAGAGGAGTGCAAGATGTGAGTCGAAAAGTGAAGCAGTGCAAATATTGAAAATTCTGACTTGTCCCAAATGCCGCTCATTGGTGTTAACATTAGTAGCCATAATTATGTAAAATTTTTGAATATAACAAAAATGTATTTAAAAGCACATTATAAGTAAAGCGGTACTATCTCTTTAGAAATTTTATCCTGATTTGAAAAGTAATAGGTCACATTGTGTCCTGTTTGAAATAAAGTTTGCATCACTGTCAATGAATCGATGAGTAAGTTAACCAAGCACGGCATACTGTTGTAGCTCACCTGCAGTGCATATTTATTACTTGATACTCAATAAATACCAATAGGGTGTTGTCAGAGTGTAAGCATATTCTATGATGTCAGAATAGTCCTAAGTGTCAATTGAATAAATCTATATCTATATTAATACATAAAGTCACAAGGGCTTTACGTTACAGCGCAATAATCTATAAATGTAGATCGATTAGATTTATTACTAATTCTGCAAATACATGTGAGAACTTGGTGGAAGAAATCACTAATTTAACATTACAGAAATAACAACTTAACAAAGTTTACAAACTTTAAAAATTAACATGAACATTCCATCGTGTAAGCTTTTCTAGCACTCCACCTCACCACACTTCGCATCACCGCACTGAGCTGTAATGAGCTGATCACTGAGCTGTAATGTCTTTCTTATACCCTTATTTCCCTCAATTTCACATTGCCACTTCACTGCACATAATTTATAATAATGCACATAATTAATTATAAATAATAATAATAGTAATAATAATGTACTGAACTAATATCAATTAAACTTTTGTGCTAGCTTTCTTTGAAGGTCAGCGTGCTATAGGCTATGATTTCCAACCGTAAACCTTAATATATTTACAAAATAATTATTTTCCTGGACTTTTTCGCGTAGCATTGCATCATAGATTTAAGAGTACATCAATGTGCAATAGTTTTGCTGCGCGCCACAAGAGGATGGCGTCTGATATCTACGATTGAAATCATCAATGCACAGAATTGCGTATTTATAGAAGACTTTATTTTCACTGTCAATTGTCTAATCCGAAATTATTCTCCCGCTCTATTTATAAAGGTAACTTGGATATTTATTTTAAATGAATATACTTGTTCAGAAAGAAAAATTACACAAATAAAAAGCAGTCCATTGGTGTAAGTTGGGTGCTTTTTACTTTTCCGTATAATACTTGCGGAGTATTATACGCGGTATTCAGAAAGTTATATAATGATGCGCAAACAAAGGTGGATTTTCAGCAGAATCAAATTCATTGCCGAGCCCGGATACGAAAAATGTGAATAAATCTAGTTGCAAAATTTAAAAAAAATCCTCTAGCACGTGGTGTAGGCAGAAACCCTTTTTTTTGGGGTCCTTGATATCAAAAATCCAATTGAATCTGTCTGTCCATCTGTCCGTGAACACCTTTAGCGCCTAAACCATACGTAGGATTTTTCCAAATTAATGAAAACCATAACATCTTCGCATACGATCTAGCTCGAGTCAAAGCTTTGAGATTTTGAAAATCATTCTTTAAAATTCGGGGGGACCTTATATGAAGCACTACGGAGATTTTCAAAATTTTCTCAGAATCACAAATTGTTTCTTTAAATTTCTAGTGAAAAGAGTGAAATACACTTATAAAGGTGACGTAGGTCCAATTTTCAAGGTTAACTCTGAATTTTCGAAAATTTCAAAAGTTTGATTTTTCCCCCGCGATTTCCTTCAACTACAAAATTGAAGATAGAGATTTTCCCTTTATATAAAATTTGATCTCTATCGTGAGTTCTTATATTAATGTCTTATATGTTATATCAAAACTTTGCGTCTTCGCGCAATTGTGCGGGCAATATTTCCAATTTAAAAAATTAAAAAAAAACAAGATTTTCTCAAAAACAGATCCAAATGTATTCTTTAAACGTTTGGTAGGGATAGAGCTAAATAAACTCAGTAAAATCACATACACGCCAAATTCTTCTATTCTTTTGTGTTTTTAAAAATCTGACAATTTTAAGTTTTTTGACTTGTTTCTCACGTCGTTAGTATTTACATTAGCGGTAATTTGTTGACATTGTTATATTTATGAGTACATGTGCTTTAAATAATGTCACATAAAGTTTCTAGAAAACTGAACTGGCTCAAAATTCCGCATTTTCAGAAACATGAAACGCCATTTTCTCCTAAGTGGCTCCATTTTTTTCTTTAAACTTTTCGAATGGAGAGTACTGCACTCTTTAATATAACGTTAATTCACATGTGTACGTTTTTTAAAGATCTCTCACACCATTAATATGCATATTTCCGGCAAAAACTATTGTATTTGTGAGTTAATGTGCTTAAATTTACTTTTAATGAAGTTTTTCGAAACCTCGAAAATTTCTGCGGAAAAGAGCTTCAAATTGCGAATTTACAATACCGCTTAAACACCATTTTCTTAACATCTGCTCCAAATTTTTCAAAGAAAATTGTCATTTAAGAATAGATTTTCCTATTTTTAGGAAAACTTAAAATGGAAGAGGATTAACTATTAGGAAAACGAAAAATTAAAATAATAATACTTGGAAAAAATGTAGTTTAGGTGGCGATAGATAGCTGGCATGTAGCAAGTCAGAATAGCTAGCCAAGACCAAAAGAAATAGAAAACTAATGCGGGAAAGTATGTTATTCTGTGGCACCAATAGTTTATTTCTGTGTTAATTTCACATGTTTCTGGAGTATTTATATGTTTATGCAATGCAAATTTTTGCATAGAAAATAGTTTTCAAACCAACTTTTGAGGGCTTATTGCGGTTCAGCCATTCGGCTTATCCTAGGAGTATAACCATGTATCTTTACTTTTCATTATTTATTTCGAGACCCCATTTTTTATATATTTCTACTACTCTGCGCCAGTCGCCAGCCAGCCGCCTCACAGAACACTGCGCCCGCGACCCTGCCGCCACTTACAATGTTCATTACATAAGTGAACGAAACGTTTGACCCTTCAATGTCAACTAGACCACGGCTTACCAGCCCGGAAAATTTCTCTTCGATTCCCTTAGAGTTTCGCCAGTAACAAAGTTGGTGAAAGAGGTCACCCTTGTTTGAGACTCTTATTAACTACAAAACCTTCTGATACTTCATTTCTTATCGTAACATGAATCATACTGTTTTCATATATCTCCATCCACTCCGCTATAAAAATTCAAGTAATTACCTTTAGGCAGTATTTACCTTTACTTTTGTTAAGATTTCCCACATTTTATTTTTTGGAACACTATTATAATCTTTTCTTACATCAATAAAAATTAAGTGTAATTCTCTGTTCATTGAGATTTTTTTCAATAAGTTGTATAATCGAGAATATATTATCAACCTTTGATCTAAAACCACATTGTTCCTCAATTTCATTCACCTTTGTTTCCAGTCCAGTTCAGCTTTTACGAATGGAGCTAATCCATTCATTCTTCCATTCTTCAGGCACACAATTGGGTAAAATACACGCGTTAAATAACGTTGTCATACAATCTAAAAAAATACTTGGTGAATATTTTAACAGCTCTATAGGCAAACCTCCAGAACCAGTTGACTTATTTCCTTTCATTTTTTTCAGAGCTTGTTTAACTTTTTGAATTTTGATAGCTAAAAGAGACCGTGATTCTACAGGTCTATTGTAACTAACGTGACAGAAATAAGGCATATCTTCAGTGAGAAACTTACAATAGTGTTCCTTCCATTTCTGGAAATAATCTGATTCAGAACTCTATTTTCATTTTTGTTTTAAGTTTGAAATAGTTGTCCAGGCTTCTCTTAATCGTGAGCTTCCAAGGAATCTAATTCGGTCCCAATATTGATGCTTTGCTTTAAATATTTGTTTTTTGACACAGTTTACTTGTTTCGTATAAGCAGCCTACAAGGTTCAATCAGGGAGTTTGTGCACGCCATAGCAAACTGCACTATCGATCATCTGCGCGTGCACAGATGTACTACAGTAATGCGAAACTTCAAGCGTACATTCGCTGATGATCGACAGTACTTTAACGTTCGAGGGCGCACCAACTGCGTTTTATCACTTCGAGTTCGAATTCTAGTTGGCGCACGCGCAGAGGTTCAAAACGGGAGAAGTCGTAATAGGGACTAAACTAGAACCCTGCGGGATCCCATGTGCTCTTGGCGATGGATTGAAAAGGAGAGTATATAACAATACGGTACGGTATCTCAATACGGTATTTCTACTCTCTGAGACTGCTGTTTAAGGTACGAACATAACCAATCTAGAACAATACAACGAATTTCATACGAAGGTTATTATGGAAGCAAAATGTTATATTCAACGATATTAAAAGCTTTAAATAAGCATTAAGAGTGAATAGGTGTACAATGGCAGGCGCAGGTGTTTAACAGAGAATCCGAAGTTCCATCTAAACCAGCCTAATATTTATATTTAAGTTCAGTGATTATTTTGGAAATTTTATAGGACGAAGTTTTGGAAACAATCATCATTTTGTAGAAATCTCATATGGTGAATTTTGTGACTTTAAACCCACGGTAAGACTGGAAAATCTTTTTTATTTTTACAATTTTTTTATTAATTCATGCTTGGCCTGTGGCCCTGAGCAGCCGTGAACGACTGGTACAGTAGTTGATTTTTTTATACAGCAAGTTTACAAGTTCATTTTTTTCGTACTTATTTTTTTCAGAAGCCCTTTATATTACACAGAATGGCAAGTAGTTTCCAGCCTGCTTACGGAGGATCAAAACATTCTCTGGATAATTTTCTTTTCAAACGTTTCCGTTGGGGGTTTTGTTTACCTAGTTTGAAATGGGTAGCTGAAGGTATTCGAGAAATTTTGTTATAGAATTTTGCGGATTGATGGAAGAAATGTACAGTGATGGGGGTGATACCGAGTTCTTAGGGATAAACCAGGGTGCTTTTGTGATTATTCTCAGGAATTTATTTTGGAACGTTTGTATTTTGTATTTTTTTATGCTGCGGCATAGATTGAAGATGCATAACATAATATAGGTCGTATCATTATTTGGTAGATATGAATGGATGGGTGTAATTGAAATGGGAATGATTTCTTAAGTAAGGGATATAACTGATGTGTTCTTCTAGAGGCTAGTGCAATTCTGTGCATGATATTTGATCTCCATGTGAGTCGTCTGTCAAATAATACTCCTAGGTATTTTGCCGTGGCGTTCGCGGGAATCTATGGAATGTTATGGTTTTGACAGGTGAGTGTGGGAAGGTCGAGGGGTATTCGTAGAGGGAATCTTTTTCTTTTCCTCTTGCTTGCGTTTATCTAAATATGCCATTTTTGTGCTCAACCGGAAAATACCTTGAGATGATCTTGAAGATCCTCTAATGCTGTTTCTATGTCTCGGTTTGTGGAGTAGATTGCTGTGTCATCTGCGAAGGTGGCAATGGATGTAAATGGTGTGGTGAGTACATCAGCTATGTAGATATTGAATAGGGTTGGGGAGAGGTTCACACCCTGTGGAACTCCTTATTTTATGAGATATGGTGTTAAGAGTGCGCCGGGAAGTCGCACTGAAAACGTACGTTCACTAAGAAAATCTATTATGCGTGAGATCAGAAAATCTTGAAAAATATTGGTTCAAGAGACCAGCCACTGTTTCTGGCGTTGACTTGTTTAATATTATCTTTTGAAATAAGATTAATATGAAGGTTTATAGATGATGTTCTATTTTTTACTATGTTACACATTACTTGTGTTTTTATTTAAGTTCAAAATATCCTATATTATGTTTCATAATTTTATCCTATCTTATAACATTTCTTAACTATGATTCGTATTTTTGGAAGAGAGGTGGAAATAATGAGGTACTTTATGATGCTTATAAATGAAATACCTCCTTTCTCTCCTAGTTGGTGGAAGGAGCGTAGCGAAATTTGCGTGGTCAGACGGAAGAGCGGGCCTGATGGCCCGAGTCTCGCCACGTAAAATAAGGCAAATTCAATTCAATTCAATTCAAAAAAGAATTCGTTTGTTCTTACATGATATCCAATCCCTCGTGTAATCCAAGACTTGCTTTCTGTGGAATGTTTAATTATATTTATTGTATCAGCATTATTGTATATGTCCCATGGTTCCTGCAGCAAGTAGTCCACGAGTCATTTTATTTTACTTTTAGTACACAATATACTCATACGTGTATTATTTAATGTACTAGTGTTCGCATTTCTTGTAATAATAAGAATTTGGGCATCATGGTCATTGGATACTAAATCTTTGGTCGTAAATTCCTATCTAGTAGTGTTTTTGTTAATTAATATATGATCAATTGCCTAATTGTTAAGTGTTATCCGTGTAGGTACATTTATTGTCATATATAAGGTGAAGGAATTGAACTAAAAAACTGTTATTTCCCACAAGATTTGATCAGGAAATAATGTTAAAATCTTCGCATACAACAATGGATACAGCACTAAAGCACTGCTGACTTTCGTTAGAGTTGTATCTAGCGTTTGTAAGTCTGTTTCTTAGACTGTTTTTGAATCTGTCTGAATAACAGATTCCATTAGAAAAAACATCTCTAATTTTAGTATTGTTGTTACAGGGAGACGAAACATTTTTGGACGTTTGTAATTTTCAAAAATTTAAGATTTCTAGGTGCTCCAAAGGTGGTTTATGTAAAAGGAACTGACATACCGATACCAGATGCACTGAGCAGAGATTGCAACAACAAGGCGATGCCAGAACAAGAAGAGATGGAAGTTGTGGTTCTACTTTCCATCAGTGAAGATTTTAGGACAAGACTCCAAAAAGAAACCAGTCAATTGGGAAATCTGTGTAGGAAGTTGCTGTAGGAGGACAAGATGAAATGTATTAAAATTTTGATTTGAAATTAATTAAAAATTTGCATTAAAAATGTGGCAGATGACAACAAATATTATGTATCAAAATGCACCACATTATTGGAAAACCGTAGAGAGCCGTAGACGATACTCCATGAAATGAAACAAATTATTAAATTGTTTGCAGTAGACATTAAACAGATTCCAAACAAGGCGGAAACAATTAGGTGCTAACTTGGCTAAATGTAGAATTACGTTGTAAAACTAATCTGGAAGGACAGTTAAAATCCTTTAAGATATTCTTATTAAGTAATTGGTTTTAAAAATAAATTTCGCATTTTAAAAGTTAGTTTTGTTTGTTTAGTACTTGTGACTCCAAGAGCCCCTGCTGACACAGACCTAAAGACATTCGTGTTTTGAAAGGGAGATAGCAAGGTTGGCATGACTGCCGATGAGTCGTTGACCACGCACGACTATTTGTTGTAATTGCTTTACGCAGTCCTCAATAATTAAGACTCACAATAAATATCCATTGGGGTTGTCAGTAAACAATCATATCCTTACACTGTGAAAGAGATGTCACAAATTGTAATTTTGTCGAATGTTACCGCAGTAACTATGAAATAAAAAACAAAAACGTAAAATTTAGTATCAAAATAACAAGAACATGAAATGCATGTTGAGTCGGACCTTAACTGCTTTCTTTTTTTTATTTTATTTCGAGATAAATTTATTTAATGTCTGCATATTGTATTAAAATTAATTTTTCACTCTTCCCCTTTTTCTTTTATTTCTTTTGTTATATTAAGTACATTTCTCATACTTTAAATTAGTATAACATGTATACAAAAACTTTGAATTATCTCATTATTTGTTAAATTATCTAATATTTTTGCGTATTAACCAGTTGCAGCTACGATAGGGAGATTGTCCCCCTGGGATAATATTAGCATTTTCTCCTTTAAAATCACTCCTTTAAAATTACACCTTTCCATTCTTTTAACGTTATCCTCAATTAGTGCACATCTGTTGAATTTGTTCTCCCGCTCGCACTCAACTTTGCGGCGTAGCTTTGAGACTTTCAAACAAAGAAATCGCCGCCTATAAGCACTCGAACGGCAAGGCAGGATTTGCAAATGGAGTCTCCTCCAGCAGAGACGAAGAATCATATTTCAGCGCAATATGTTGCCTATAGTGACTGGTGCCCGAACTGCAAACTAGAAGTTACAGTTCCATCTAATGACGAAAATGTAATCTCCAAAATTCACAACACGAATATATAATAAAATGTAAAAAAATCATAGAAATTCATTAAAATTACGTTTAATAAAACTTTGTATTGAAATATTACTTACATATGTTTATGCCAAGCGTCCGTGTCAGGTATTATATTCACAATTCGCGTACGTAGTTCTGGCTTTAATTTCCAGTGTTGCATAAGGACTATTGTTTGGTCACGTTTTATACAAATAAAATTGTTTTATTTCGAAAACTTTCCTATCCTGTGAACAAACGTGACAGGAAACACAAAGCTAGAGAACCTCCATGATAACATACCATGGTGTTCGCTTTGGTGGGGACTGTTGGCGTCGATGCCCTTTCGTCGGATACATCGCTCTGATGTGCCTCGTGAGAATTTCTTGTATCTTCTCCAGAGAAGGAACCCTTCCTGAGACTGCATTACCCTGAACATAAAAACCCAGGGAATAATATTGTAATTGATGTTTAATATAACTAATTGGTGATTGGGTAATGATAGCCTTCATTCCACATACTCCAAATAAATATCTCTCCAAATAAACTTCATCATCCAAATACTGCACACACATGTTCTTATAATTACAATACGTTCATAAAAATCAGCAAAAAGTGCGTATGTTACGGCGAAAGCCCGAATCTAATTCACGAATTAGTTATTTGTATGAAATTGAGAGACTAATTTGCTTGGGGAGAAACGTGACACGAAGTATAAACTCTGACTTACAGAACAAAACCATCACTAACACTACTAAAAGACGTCTTTACTTCTCGCTAGTTAAGAGTGTTACAACATACGGTTCAGAAGTTTGGGAGGTTGATAAAAGAACAAAAGGAAGCTGTTGACCCTTGAAATGGACTTCTGGCGTAGAAGTTGCTGTTATAGCAGCAACACACGACTCCTCAATTACATTAACATTTACCAATTACGTTAATTAAGTAGGTGAGCTGCACTCTGTCCCTCTCCCTCTCGCCCCACTTCACTCAAGTCTCACTCTGACAATGCCTCAACCTGCTTAACCCATGTGCTACATTTATGAGAAAAGAAAATAACTTTCAAAGTTAGCTCGATTGCGATTGCACAGAAGCAATAACAAAAGAAAGCAAAAGCATTTAACTTCGGAAAGTCACAGCAAGCACACACAATTAGTTTGTGACATGGACATACAATAACAAAGACATCTCTTAAAAATATGATTTGGCTGCTGGGCAAGAATCTATGTATTTGATGGAAAAAAATATCGAACGGGCCAAAAGAAAAAAAGGTATTCGTAGGTACTACAACATCGGTTATGTGGAAACTTCCGTAATGGAAAGTATGCTAATTATGTTCAAACATTTACGTCCAGATAGAGTCATTCTGAGAAACTATATATTCATATTATTTCGTCTTTAGATATTGTTGGATTTGAAGACTAACGTAATGACAGGGTTTATATTAATTTGGAACGTGATTAAACATGATATCAACACGTTTCCTGGTTTTACACAGTAATTATATGCAAATTGCTAAGAATTAATGTAGTAAAACTTACCTGTAACCTGATACATGTTAATCCTGCAGAACGATCGCGGCCTTCTGCTTCCTTCAATTTCATTTGGTATTCAAGAGTATGAAGAAATTTGTGAATGCCTATCATACCAATTTTGTTGTCTGTAAACACAAAAATTGTAAGATAAATCAGTGCCAAATTGTATCGATAAGTGTAACATTTTCATTGTCGAATTAAGTTTTCTGAACAATATAAATTAGTTGCTTGTCATCAGAATCAAAAGAAGACATGATGCTCAATATGTTTAGAAGATAGTAGGGATTAACCTTGTTTAGTGCCCAAGTTATGGGAGGAGGTGGGGAACACAAGGCCTGGGGAGGCATCATTCCAAGATGACAATTGCAAATCTTTCTTTAAATTTGCCTAATTTGAATATTTGATACAAAAATTTCATGTGTCAATTTTAGCAATCATTTCATAAATTTATTTCATTAAAATATTATCTTATTATTTTATTTTATAATAAAGGTGACAACTTAATTCATGTTCTCTAAAACTCGCAAAGGGAATGTGATGGTTTTGTATGAATTATAAAATGTCATTAACACAAAACTTGTACATTTACCACCATTATATTGAAAATTACCCCCAGGGTGTATCTTGCAGATTTAGTTCAGACAAAGACATACAAAGTTCATTCATTCAACTTGATTGATGGAATCTAAGAAATATACTAACAGAATCGGTAAACTCAGGTTAACTGCTTACAAATGCACATGAGTATATCAAGTAATTGATTGAGAAAATGCATAAGTAAGACATTACACATTCTCGATTCATTCACACTGCTTGTCTCATGAGGAAGATCATTGCGTGTTCAGCTAACCTGCGTGCTTTAGAATGAAGGTTTTGTACAGGAATGTTAAGCATCAGTAAGACAGCAGTATAACAACACAATGTTGATGGTAATGTTATTCATATTTACCACACATATCAAAAATATTATAACTAATACATATGCATTCGCAGTAAGTATATTGCTTGTACTCGTAATGAAAATTCATATAATTCTTATGTGAAAATATGATGAATCTAGTGATGCTATAAAACCTTTCCAACTATCTCTAAGAAATACACCATATAATTATAATAAACTGAAAACTATAGGATTTATTTGTACTTCATATAATGAAGCTGAAATACTCACAATCAAGACAAATTTCTTTTATTTGGAAATTGCCTATGCACCACATATCCAAGCCATCCGGCCTTGCATCCCATGAATAAGGGTGCGAGTCAAAGTTTAATTTCTTGTCAACTTCAGCTTCTATTCTCCGCCTGATTTCGTCGCTTATTGGAGCTATCAGAAAACATGTAATTGAAATTTAGTCAATTTTTGTCATAACAGCACAGTTCATTCTAAGATTAGCTATACTGAACTTTCCTTGTACTAGTAGTTATACAGTAAGTCGTAACAGACTCATTGAAAAACAATAACTTGGAAATATTTAATAAAGAAATGATTTGTGTAAAATAATTGATTAAAGCGCAAAAGCGAAAAGTGTATAATCACATGTATTATCACAGTGACAAATTACCTAAATTAAAGATAGGCATACCTTTTAATTGAAATAAAATTCTTAAATGCGTTTTCAGCCAATATAAAAAGGACTAGTACGTTCGAGTATGTTCTGTTAAAGTTAAAAAATGCTTTTTGCGTGAATAATAAAGACTTCAACTCATGAAAATGAGAAAGAAGTTTATTATAAGCAAGAGTAGGAAACTTAAATAAAGATAACACACTATTTTCTTTAGAAGTTAGACAATTAGTTCTGTAGAATGTGGCATTGGAAATGTTTTTTTCTGGGAAAAGTAGGAAATTAGATTCATGGTAATCAATTAGCAATAATTGAGCTCGAATTCTGTGGGATAGTGGAATCATACTGCTCAAATAGTGGAAGAAAATAAACGTTTTGTTTTAACAAATATCTAAGATAATATACACCATTGATTCCTATAGAATGCAGGCTTGTAGTAATTGTTGCTAAGAAGACAAACCATTGTAATCAAGCAATTACAAGAGACCGCAAATAAATTAAAACTTCCTGAGAAGCATTTGAGAGCCATTCAGAAAGCAGCATTTGCGGGAACAGCACATACTCTGTTAATTATAATGGCTGCATTGACGGAAAGCAACCATGTTCTAGTTTCACTTTACGAGCAAACCACTCTGGCCTTTGGTGATTTTGAGAGATCCAGCAAAAGTGTAGATACAGAGAGAAGGGAAAAAATAATAATAACAATGATAATAATAATATAATATAATAATAAGTTCCGTCAGTATTTTCTTTCGATGGACACCCCAATCCATAATGCAATATGCACGCAACATAAAAATATCAGTCCATTAAGTCTAGCCCAAGAGAACAGAGAGTTCCTTCACTTGACAAGGGATGATATAATCGATATCTGGAAGACGAGGGCATATATATGTAGATGTGTATGTATATGTATATATACACACACACACACACACATATATATATATTAGAGAGAGAGGAGAGAGGAGAAGACACTTAATCTCAGGTCGTGTTCCGCCCCACGTTGGGCTGCCAAAATCGTAACGATACCCTCCTACACCCACACAACTTACCACCTTCACAGTAGCAGGCATGAACCGTAAGCGGGTTATCAAGATTTTGTTGCCTTCGGTGTTTGGTTCATATTTTCAAATGCTAAATCGTAGTTGCCTAACAAAACTTGGAATTTTTCTACGTCTTTTACATCTACGCT